GGTGATTTACGTCGCATGTGGAATGAGCCTTTTATAAACAGCCAGCCTGCTAAACTGGAGGTGTAACTCTAGAGCAGCCCCCTCCATTGACCAAATTGGGCACTGGGCAATAAGATGCCACCTCCTGATCCCATGGGTAGCCCACTGCCAATGATCTGCAAAACCTGAGACATTTGAAAATGACGAAGCAAAGTATACTTCTGGGTGCAATTAGGAAGGGCCATTTTAAATTTATTTTATCTTTTTTTTTTTTATTTACTTTTACATTTTAAAAGAACTTTTAAATATACAGTTTAGATGATAATAAAAGAAACAACAATAAAGGAATAAAAAGGAGTAAACCTCTGGCCAAGAAAACTCCCAGGACTCATTTTCTAATGGGGTCATGCCAAAGATAATAGTGTGTGGAAGGAGAGAAAAAAAACAAACAAAAATTTAAGTACCTCACCCTGCTACAACAACCAAGTTGGAACTGAAGCTAAAAAAAAAAAAAATGAGAGGGAAGAGATGTTCCTCCCCTCCAATGCAAATGATTCTTTTTTGACAAAATTTGTCTTCAGATTCTCCCACACACACACACACACACACTGATCTCCTGTTGCTGCTACTTGTCAAGTTTGTTGTTACTTTGTTTTACAATGAGTGGTCAATCCACATTTGTCCAATGGATATCTTTGCCCCTAGACTCCATGGGGGAAGGAGAAGTGATTGAGTTTTAAATCATTGGATTTGTGACTGTTAACTGATCCCCCCCACCAATGCCTAAAGCTGAATTTTGTCTGTGGCCAGTTACAATGATGTTTTAATCCAATGCAATCTGCCTAATTTGTTCAGCTTTTTTTTTTTTTAAATATAATAATAATAATAAAAAAAAAGCCTGAAATCCCCCCCCTCCTCTTTATACATCCCACCGGTCAAGGAGTGGGGGTAAAATTATTTTGAAACACGTTAACAGTTTCAAGGGAGGCAACTCGTATCCATCATGAGGACATCTTTTCAAATCAAGCATTTTCAAATCAAGCAATTTCTTCTGACCTGTGAAATTTCTCACTCCCTTACCAAACTTTATTTATATAAAACATCATCTTTAACCTCTAGTCTTCCTCAGGTGTGTATTTGGGAGTGAGGGGTGACGATGGGAATTGACTTAAATATGTACTTTAAAAGATGAGTACATTTATTTGAAAAAAAAAAAAAAAAAAAAAAAAATTGATTGGGTATCAATATTTCTACTGTCAAAAATATTACCTATGCCTATTTTTAACTGAGTGGAATCGATGCAGTTTTTTCTTGTTTGTGAGTTAGTCTAAATTATCTGTCAAGAAAGGAGAACAATTGGATGTCAAGTGAGTGTTCCCATAATGGTTTGCTTTCTGTAATAAGTCATCATTCTGAGACACGTTTTGTGAGGAATCGAGATCAGTTCATATTATAAAACCTGTTACACTGCCTCTTAGGATTTGTATATTATTATGCATATGTATACAAAATAAGATTTGATTTAATTCCTATGAATAGATGCTTTCCATTTGTTTCAATATAATTGTATTTTAAAATTACATAAAGATATTTAATGCACTGGTATCATTTCTGTTTCGTCTTTCGGGATAGAAATTGCTATCAACATCATCAGTTTTCCACTTTTCCTAGTAATTTAATGTTTGATAGTATTTTTCTTTACACATTTTCACTTAGGCTATTTTTATTTATATGGGAAACACAAATTGACTTAGTATCTCCTCCCCCATAACCTCATCCTTCAATTTATAGATTTAATTTTTTCTCTGATGTTCTTCCCTCTTCATGGTCACAAAAGATAAACCCAATCAAATGTCTAGGAATCATTTCCTAAGCTGTTCACAAAGAGTTGATTCTTTTTGCTTTGCATGAAGCTTAATCAAATTTAACACTATCACTCATGATAGTTGCTGCTTTCTTCCTCTTTCCTCAATGAAGAGGATAGCAATTAGCAAGTTTCAGAAATATTAATTCACCTTTCTATGTTCTGAAATATAATAACTACATGATTAAAAGATTTTATTTTTTTGACAAAACATTTTTCTTTGGAAATTAGTTATAGATTTTTGTGATGAAGGCAATTTGAAATTTACTTCAGAAAATATTTAGTTTACGAGTTAAAATGTGTGTTGCTTTATAAGCAGAGCAATGAAGTTTCTTTGAACCTGCGTCAAACTCATCAGTTTCCGTTTTTTTTAATATTACAGTCATTGCTTTTAACTTTTCCTTTACCGAGTCCATCTTGTTCAACTGGATTTACTTTTCTTACCATGAAACCCAGGGTTTTATCCTTTTAGCATTCTGAAAGAGATTATTTTATGCTCTGGCTTATTTAGAAAATCAGAAGTTTCATGTTTTGAATGTATGAAATACATTTGTTATTGTTGCATTCATTAAAAGTATGCAAGGTTTTAGCAGCTTTTCTAAGCAGATATTGATTTTCTACATGTGATTGTAAGTAAAAAAAAAATTTTTTTCAACCAAAAAAAAAAAAAAAAAAAAATCCTGACTAAACTTCATTAAACAGGAAAAGTTCTGAATTGGAATTTTGTCTCAACTAATAAAATAATGGAAAATAAATTAATATTGGTTACCAACAGCTTAGAAAAGGTTGAGATGAAAAATTCCATATCAGTCTCCTTACTTAAATGAGAGAGCTAGACACAGACACACTGTTACTTTGGTTTTTTACTTAGTGTAGTAAAATGACTTTTAATATATATGTGTGTGTGTGTGTATATATATATATATATATATATAAAAAGTCATTTTACTACACTAAGTAAAAAACCAAAGTAACAGTGTGTCTGTGTCTAGCTCTCTCATTTATATATAAGGTCACTTTAAAAAATATTTCTGATATAAGGTCACTTTAAAAAAAAAAAAAAAAAAGTTCATCTGTCGCTTTCATTATTTATGTTAAAGTCAAAACTAAGTTGAGTGACATGGGAAACCTTTTTCATTTGGCATTCTTGTAACTTCATGATTTTTTTTTTTTTCTTTCTTCTATTTACCATTGGCATAGTTTCAAAATGAGATTTTGACAGGTAAAGAAGTTTAACCATCTAAAAATTTTTGTTATAAGAATTAATTTTCGGTTAATAATAATGAAAATCAGGACAAATTGTTGGAGACATTCCTCTTTTGTGCAGAAAGACTTGGTCTTAAAACTTTTTTTTTTTTGCCTGTGATTTTTGGCATCATTAACAATATTGAATGGCAACAATTGGCTTTATCAGCTTGGAGAGGAGGGGGCTGAAAAGAAAAAAAAAACTTGCACGCACACACTATTGCCAAATGTTGATTTGTTTTTTGGTCAAAACTGCATTAAACCAACTTTCTCAAAAGCACTTAAGTGGAGAGTGAGAGAGCCAGTTGAATAAGTAAATTGAAACGGACTTACTGCAAAATACTTCCCATTTGCAGTGAAATTGACTTTTAAATATTTAAACAACTATTTTAATTACTAAATGAAAATTTTAGTTGTGCAAATCTGGAAGAAAAAAAAAAAAAAACTTAATTTTCTGCCAGGTTAAAATCTTTTGTATACTTGAATAAGAGAGAGAGCCAGATTTTACAAGTGTGATTCACCTGGTAAAAAGACATTAGTCATCATATTTATGGTCAACAAGCTGATTTCTTATCATGAAATCCTGAATAGCGTGCATCTTTGAAGCAGGTCATTTATGAAGCAATGCCTACAACAATCTGCCCTTTCCAACCAACTTGACTCCACCCTTTGAATAAGAGACTAGAAGAAAAAAAAAAAAAAAAATCTGCCTCTTTAACTCTGTCTCTGAGTGGACAGACGTAAATTTTATAAGCTTTCACTAGAAACTATAACCACTGCCCTGCCTCATCTACGGGGGGGGTGTCCAAGGCTAATTACTTTCATTTGGGTGGGGCAAAATAAATTCCAATGTGTGTGGTTGCATAAATATCACTGACTTTATGTCTGAAAGTGAAACTGGATTAATACAGGTAGACACACGGAGGGGGGGGTATGACAGCAGCAACAGGGGTTGGGGGGGGGAAAAATCTCTTTGGCGATGCAGCAATTCATTTGATCTGATTTTTTTTTTTTTTTAATCCTGCAAACAAAAAAAAAAAAAAAACTTATGAAATAAAACTTAAAAAAAAGACATTGGAAGAAACAGATGTTGGACCATTTTTAAAAAAAAAAAAAAAAGTCACAAGATTGAAAATATTTGAACCTCCTCAAAAAAAAAAAGACAAAAATTCATTATAAAGAGAAAAAAAAAATTTTTTTTTATCTTGGTGATCAAGAAAGTTTTTTTTTTTTTTTTGGGCCGTTGTCATCATTTGTTACAATCCACCAACTTCACCAAAACACGATGACGACATTTTAATGCAGTGACAGTTTGGCACTGGCCGCTGCTGGACCTGACGTTTATCATTCAGTTTTCATCATTTCATGAAGGGAAAAAAAAAAATTTAAAAAAAAAATCGTTTTCCGCTCTAACTGTGGATGGCCAACTTCATAAAGTCATAAATAAAGTTCTTTAAGTGATACTTGTTGTTTTTTTTTTTTTTTTCTCTCTCTCTCATAATCCTTTCCCATATATATATATATATATATATATATATATATATATAGATATATATGTTGTGTTGTGTTAATTTATTTTAAGAGACGTTTTCGTATTTTACATATTTTTCTTTCTTTTTTTTTTTTTTTCTTTTCTTTAAAAATTTGTCACTTAGAAAATTGCTAATGAAACTTGTAAGGGAAGTAACTGTTAAATAATTTAGCTGAATTGTTCCCCTTGGATTGCGCTTCCCGCGTCGAAATTCTTTTTCAATCAACGAAGTTATTCCAAACTAACAAAATACAGAAATCTGAGTGGAAAAAAAAAGGGGGGGGGGGGAGCGCAAATCACGTTTTAATATAATTTTTTATTAAGTGTTTGTTTCTAATGTGACTTCAATCTTGAGACGTACATCAATCCGGAAAGCATCCATCATGGCTTGGCGGGCAGCTTCACTGGCATTTCGGATATTGCTGCCTTTTGTACCAATGATCATATGCTAGAAAAACAAACAACATTTTATGGGATTTTGAAAAGAGACAAACATGTTGAAATAATTCATTTACTTGGAAGTTGTGCAAAGCTTTGATTAGTTTGAATAATTATTATGTGTGTATAAAAATTAGTTGGTGGGGGCTACCCATGTATTATATGAAAATAACGCCAGTTATATAGAAATTCATGAATGATATTCATTTATTTCAATAAATATATTGCTTGTGTATTATATTAAAATCTCACCATTAATGGCAGCTGCCAATGTGATCACAAAATGACTTAAAAACAATAAGTATGTATTCAATATTCTACAATTAATTCATTAAATTTGCTAGTTTATTTTTAAAAAAAAAAAATATATAATTAAATTAATTTGGGCTTAAATTGGAAATATTGGCATATTTTGGCATCTGACTATTTCTGAGATGAGGTATTATGTACAATGATTACATTATTTGTACTATTGTCCTCTTCTTTGTTGCCATATTACAATGTTTCAGTCGTTGTACGCTCCAGCTTTCTTCAGATGGTTGGGATGTTGAACTGAACCCTTTATTTTGCTTACTGGGGTAGCCTGTTCTATTTTCACATGCCATGTTTTAATGGATATCAGTTATCTCTTGTTAATTCCCCTCTTCAAGTTCGCCACTGTCCTTAAGGACACAGTGGATATGGCGTTGGTTAGATCCAGTGACAGGACCCAAAGAGTGTGAGTTCAATACCCGGTTAAGGCAGTGGAAAACTTGCAGGGAGAAATTAACAGGAGATGACTGATAACTGACATCCATTAAAACCTGGCACATGGAACTAGAACAGTCTACCCCAGTGAGTGAAATAAAGGGTTCAGTTTGACATGCCAACCACCTGAAGAAGGAGCGTACAATGGCCGAAACGTAATAAATATGGCAACAAAGATGAGGACAATAGTGTTGTTTTTTTTTCTAATGCAAACTATTTCATATATTTTAATTTGTAAACCTTTCATACACAGTACGACAAATACCTCCACATAATGGTAAGACATTAGCTGGATGAAGGCCCCCTTGCCACTAATATCTTACCATTGTGGGGAGGTATTTCTGCCGCACACTGTATAAAGAATACAGAAATAAAATTGTTTACCAAAACTTTCCTTAAAACATGCTAAATCAGAATGTATAAGGGTTTAAATGTTCATACATATTCCATTCATTAGAGAAAATATTGTATTTTTTTTCTTTTCTGAAAAGAGTTTGAGTAGGAAAAAAAAAAAAAAAAAATCCTTTTACCAAATGCTGCTTCTTTTTACAAATAACATTCAATATAATCATCAAATGGTCATCCTTCACTTCCCACATTTGTGTTTTCTGTTCAAAAGAAAAAAAAAGTTTTATTTAGGATATAAAGTATTTTTTATTCCTAATCTGTAAAAAGTAATTGATACAGGAAGAATATATTTGATTGCAACAAAATAAATGCCCTTTGAATTAGTATGACGACATTTCTTTTTTTTCCTAACAACAATTAAATTTTAAAAGAAAAGATGAATAAGCATAATTTTTGTGTATTCTCCAAGAGTTCAAACTTTGTCCTTGTGCTGCTAAAATTACTCGCAGGAAGAATACTCAGTGAGTAGAGTCAGCTTCAAAATGGACTCTGTGCCATTTGTCTGAAAAATTTATTTCTGCCAATTTGACTCTCCAAGATGAGTGTCCAGTTGTGGTTGCGAATCATCACTGGACAATGAAGAATTGAGGAAAAGCCAATGTTTGTTCATCTAGAAATAAACACTCTGGTGTTTGCAGCAAAAGTGGGAGTAACACGTAACCTATAAGAAAGCAGTTGGAAGATTTCATGTATCAATTGGTGAAGAAAATGCATCTGCAGTTTGCATTATTTGGTATTTGCTGCAGTTTGTGTGTTTCTTTTAAAAAGACCCTCCTCATTTTTTTTTTTTTTTTTTGCGTAATGTTCTTTTGCATTGATGAAAAGTGATTTCTGTATGATAATCAGAAATGTGACATTTTGGTTGGGTTGGGGTCACAGAAATGTGACATTTTGGGCTGGGTGGGGTCAACAAAGTTGTTCTTCAATCAAGTTTCTCAAAACTAAAATCCACTCCAAAATTAACATCCTGATCCTTTAGTGTTGCTGTAATAGAGTAATCTGGTACAGCCTGTTGCAACCTTGTCAAACCATTACACTAGCAGAATTGTATTGCTATGATTTCAATACTGATGTATTAAAAGACCTTTTGGCTAGCAGCACTAAAGAGAAAAAAAAAAGACCCATCTTGTTTAAACTTGAATAATCTTTCAACAATAACTGATGCAATCAAGGTAGATATCCTGCTCAATCCTCTCCTATTCACTGGGCTTGTCCCCTACCAATTGCCACTTTTTCCTGAGCCTTAGATGCATATACATATCAGAAACTGTATTCCAATATGGATCAGTTTCCTATAAACAAATCGATTTCTGGATCATTGGAAATGTTATGTTGATTCAAAAATTGTTTCAGCCGAGTTATGGGCGGCCATTTACTTTGTTCCATTTTTCAAAGGCAGGAAAAGTATTTTTCACAAGAAATATTTTTTTTTCTTCTTTCAATCCATTCAATATTCAAAACTCAAAATATATTCTTTGTTGTATGTTTGGCATTTGGGTTTTATTTACTATCGCTAAAAACTCCTGTCCTGTTCTTAAATAACCTCATTAGATTAAGACTTTCAAATCAATATTATGCTTGGTGCCAAACTTGTTCAGAAATGTCTATATTGTCAGCCGTATACAGCTTCTGAAGATCAGTTGTTAAAAAAAGTGAAGCCAGTAGGTCTTAGAGAGGACCGTCCCTCTTTGAACTTCATGGATTGATGTAAAATCACAAACAAATAATGGAAACCACATTGCTTGAAGACTTTCAACAGCAGCAACAACTGAAATGGATAGCACATGTAATTTGAAGAGAAAATAATGACAGCTGAGATGCAATGAATGTCAAATAATAGGAAACAACAAATATTACCATTAGAGATGAGGAAAAAAGATACATTTGAATCCCAACTCAATAGCCATAGAATGAAAAACCTGACTCGAGAAGCACTTGCAGTTTAGTCAATTGATTCCGAATGTTTCCTTACAAGGAAAAAAAGGCTTAAATTACCATTACCATTGGATAAGTAGTAATGGAACTTGTCGCATTAAAATCATTGGGAATGTAGAAAGTGTTAACGTATAGACAAACAATATCAATGATTAAAAACAAGAAAAGTACCTTTGGGAATGTTTTGGTATTTGGGTTGTTATATAAAATATAATTTCCATTGTTCAAAATTCTCAGAACTTCATTTGTTGAATAAAGCAAAACTTAAAAAAAAAAAAAAATATGCAAAAGAAACTTACAATTTGGATTTTGTATGGAACTTCTTCTGGCAAAATTTCCAGAAGTTTTTCCCAAAGCAAATCATGAGCCAACACCAGAGGATCCTGATCTGTAACCAAACTACTGTGGAATTCCCAATTTCCAGGTACGGCTTGAGACAATAAATAATCCTGAAAATGAAAATTGGGCCAGTTATATATATAATTATTATGATGTAAACTTGGACCTTCATGCCCACAAAAAAACTGGAGCGTCAAAAGGATGGTTTTTCCCTTGACACCACTATTATTTTAACTACCTTCACTTCTTAGCGATGTTTTTTGTTTTAAAAAATGAAGATTAGATAAAACCTAAACATATAATGAAAATAAATTTACACAGTTTTTTTTTGTTCTTGAGAATTTGCAAAAAGAAAAACATTATGAATTGTGTTTATTTTCTTTCTTTATGCCATTGTGTGTTTCTTCCAAATCTGTTTCAAGGAAAGGTGCTAACTAGACATACACGGTAATACATTTTAAGGTGTTAATTAATCTATCATACTTTATTATATTTCTATATATTAATAAACTATAAAAATAAAAAAAAAATTGTCTTTCATTAAGAATGAAGAGAGAAACAAATATGGCCAACATATCAAATATCTTTTTGTAAACAATTGTTATAAACACTTTCCTACTTTGTGTTTTATTATCAATTGTACTGAATGGATTTGGATTCTTGATGTTTCAAATTAGAGTTTTTTTTAAGCTGAGTAAAAATTTCTGAAAACATATTTGTGTATAATATGACTCCTCACTTTTTTGCTTTTACTTTTCATACAAAAATTTTCTAGAAAATCAAACATTTCGAAAATAATTTCAACATCGTTCTGGCAACTCATGCAAGCTGTCACTCCAGTGTGGGCCAGTACATCCATAACAGATGCTACACTACCATCAGCAGCTGAGGTGTAACCCTTTAGGCACAGATTCAAGGTTTCTCGAGACTGATAGATACAAGATACATTAAAGAATAGAAATGAACTTTATGTTTAGCCATTGACTGTTTATTCTCCTATATTTCCAGCTAAGGGTGCAAACTAGATATACCCAGTAATACATTTTAAGGTGTTAAATAATCTATCATACTTTTCTGTTTGATATTACTTTATTATATTTCTATATATTAATAAACTATGAAAATAAAATATATCCTTCCTAAAGAGAAGAAAACTTTAAAAAAAAAAAAATAGTCTTTTATTTGGAATAAAGAGAGAAAAGTTAAAAAGAAAAGGGGGAATCAAAGTATAAACAAACAGTATCTTGTGAGCAAAACTGAGTCTTATTTGAAATGGCAAGATGTTAAATAGAGGGTTCTTTAAGCTGAATAAAAATTACAAATTGGAGATACCAAAATCAAACACATATGATAATTTAAATATCTGTGAAAATGGTTTTAATAGAGGACAGAAAATGCAACAGTGAAATCCAAAGGCACATTGGGACAATGAAAGATGCCTTCCAAAAGCTAAGCAAAGTATTAAGAAACAGAAAAACTTTGTTAGAAAACAAAGAAAAGACCTTTCCTCCTATATGGCCGTGAATGCTGGACAATCTCCTCACAGATGAAGAAGAGACTTGAAGGAACAGAAGGATGCTGAGGATGTCATAGACCAAACATGTGAGCAACGTGAAAGTTTTAGAAAAAATGGGAATTAAAAGGAAATTTATACTTAACATCAGAAGAGGCAGTTGAAATTTCTAGAGCACAGTGAGAAAAGAGGGCTTGGAAATTCTGATACACACAGGGCAGATTGAGGGACATAGGAAAACAGCACATTTATTAAGAGCTACAAAGGACAGGAAATTGTGGAGAGCCATGATCATCCATGTCCTGAAGGGACATGGCACAGTGAAGAAGAAAAAGAAATGTGTGGTTGGCAGGTCAGGAATTAAGAGAAATAGCAAAAATACAAAATTTATTAAATGCTACAAAGGACAGGAAATTGTGGAGAGCCACGACTGCCTATGTCCTGAATGGAGAAGAAAAAGTTCTGAAAACTTGTACTTAGATATAATACAACCCCCACCTTTTTTGCGTTTAATTTTAGTCCAAAATTTCTAATATGTACAAAAGAATATGGTAATTGGGCGATCAGATTAAACTGTGAATTGGAGATTCACAACTTAGAAATAGAAAAGGGGAAAAATCCTCTGAAATATGGGGGGGGGTGCAGAGAGAAATTTACCAAAAAAGAAAAAAAGGAAAAAAATAAAATAAAAAAAAAAAGAAAAACTTTGTTATTAATGCTCAGTTTACAAACTCACTTTTTTCTCCGCAATTACTAAATGTTTTTTTATGAATATTTGACTGAGTCGTTGAATGAGAAAGAGTCAATAAAAAAAAAAAAAAATATGTTAAGTGTTTTGTCCTTCAAAACGAATTCAAACTAATAACAGCTTTATTGATGAAGTCCAAGGGTGGGGAAAATGATGTAGAAATACAACAAATGTTGGTTAAAATTCTACGTCAAGAAACGCTGAAGATACAGGAACACCTAGCTTTAAATTGACACTTTTGCAGTTTGATGTTATCTCAATGCACAACTTGGTCAACATTCAGTTTTTTTATTGCTTTTGTTTCAATTTGTTTTCAAATATCCCACATTGTAATTACATGTTCACATTGCTCAGACAGCGCAGACTCCTTTGGTTGGGCCACATCCATTGCATTCCAGACGGCCACCTCCCCAAAGACCTCTTGTATAGAGAGCTGTCTGCTAGAAGAACTGGTACTGCGATGTAGTGAGACACGACATCAACACGGAGCCCTGGGAGAGCCTGGCAGCCATACGATACGAAATTTGAAGAACGAAACCAAACACCTCAAGTCAGGAGAGGAGAAGCTGACACAAGTCGCCATGGAAAGGCGGACCCGCAGAAAGTAAAGTGACAGCTCCAACTGACCAGAGACAGAAAACACATGCGACATCTGCAACAGAGATTGTCACTCTTGCATCGGCCTCTACATTCACAGACGTCGATGCTTCAGCCAAGCAGACAACTTGGATGCTACCCATGGACAACCCTGACTGACACATAATTACAGAGTTAGAAAAGGACATATGTTGCACGATGCTGTACATACATTTACTATGAAAGAGTAAGAAATCAGTGCACTTTTTATAGATTTTTGCCTTAGAAAAATTACCTTTCCCTTTTAATTAAAACTGCATTATTTTAGTTAAAATAATGGTCAGATTTATTACGTTGAATAATTGCACTTACTATATGTTGTGTATTGTGTAGATAAATGACCAACCTTCTCTACAATTAGTGTAGAGAAGGTTCATTATGAGTAGGACATCTGCTCATAGGAAGAGGTTGCAAAGTGGGTTGCAACGAGTAGCGTTGAATTGTAAATAATGTCAGATGGAACTACAGTATTCATTATTATTGTACTATTAATCCTTGTTCTGCAGGTGATGAAATCTTTTCTTTATGATTCTTTGGTTCCAGTGTTTTCCTTACAATATTATTAACCAGAAACTATGAGCATTATAACATTTTGATAAAAAAGATTGCTTTTGTATTCATCTTTTAAATTCTCAACCGTTTTTACCCAATGCACCCTTTTTGTCATATGCCTGAAAGTCATTCCCCCTTCTTTCCAAGATTGTCCGATTCAAAAAGTGTGTTCCAAATAATATGCATATTATTGAAAATCTTCATTCTTTTCCATATTAACACATTTACAAACAGGCATTATTTTTATAGGGTAGTTTTTGTTGATTTTTTTTTTTTACACTCATGATGGGTTCCAAATTATGTAAATAAAAACAAGTCAAAGACCCCCCCCCACACACACACACCTGAAGACAATTCGTCCCCAAGTTGAGAAACCCTGTCCTTAATGCTTACGTATTTCTTGGGACGATTTTTTTTTTATGCAGTCTATTTTGGAAATACTGGTTTCATATTTTAAGTTTGAATATCTATCAATAATATCGAATCTTTACATCTGCTGGTAAACTTTAATGCCCGAAATTAAAAAAGTCAATATACATCCAGTGTAAGGTCAAAAGTGGGTGTGCACCAAGGACAAAATAGAGAATCACTAAAGTGCAAACTTCCCTTTTGCATTTGTTCGCCGGAAAATCCAAACGTAGAAAATTAAAGGGAGATAACTATTGTAAATGGTGCTTTTCTTTAATTTTGTCTCGTTTAAAAATGACACGCGTTTATTTGTTGCTTATTTACTATAATGAATGATTGACAAGTCAGTTGGTTTGTTTCAAGTTGAAATCAGTTAAAGTCACGAAATGCCCCCCCCGACAATAAAAAAAATAAAATACAAACGATTAAAAAGATACAAATATAAAATAGGTACATCCACTTTTTCGGTGAAAAAAAAAAAAAAAAAAAATCAACCAAAAAACAAAATCAGCATTCCAGAAAAAAAAAAAGGCCCGAACTTAATAAAAATAAAGCTTTATCGTTAAAATGTTTATGTTATTATTAAGAGGAAAGACCAAAGTATTTTTTGATTATTTTATTAATTTTTCGAAATTCTGGCTAATTTTTTTTTTCTTTTACGTCGGCGGTCAACGTAATTTATCATTAATTTTTAGTGCTTTTTTTTTTTCATACATTGATTTGGAAATTCTTGTAAAAATCAAATAATTGTCGGATTTTAATGAAACTTTTTGGGCTTATTCACAAATGAACTATTGTTTTTACTTACTCTTTTTATTTACTTATTTAATAATTTGTTGCCAGGCAATGTGAAGAGCTTACAACGTTCGAAAACCAGACAGGACGAACACATAATTAAATAAATAAAAAAAAGTAATATTAATTAATAACATAGAAGACCTTTTTTAAATATTTAATTTTTTTACGCACGTATTTCACAAATGAGTTCGTATTATAATGCACATCTAAGGCCCTTAGTTTCTGATTAATAATATTGTAAGAAAAACACTGGAACAAAAAAGATTAGCAAAGAAAAGGTTTAATCACACGGGGGACATCGAATACAATAATAGCAAATACCGTAGTCCATTGCGGCAATGCGTACGACTCAACGCTACGCCTTGCCACCTTGTTTCTATGAGCAGACGTTCTACTCATAGCAAATGGACGGGTCTATGTTCAACAGTTGTAGAGAAGTTGTCTTTCTACACAACAATTTGTTTTGTTTTTTTTTAAAATTTTTTTACTCGTTTTTAAATAGGTAAATTTTGGTTTTGTTTCCCGAGCGCTAATATCCCTTAAAATTTTTCAAAAATCGCCATAACTCCGTGCAAATGTACATACTGAACTCGAATTAAAAATTAAATTATGAAGAAACCTTACAGTTTGCGAGTTATAGACAAGAAAAAATCGGACTTCTTGTTGGTCATTCGTCCCCCATTACTACCATCATGAATCCTTATTCGCTGCGGGATACTTTCGCTTACTTTTGGCCTATTTACTTCTTTTACACACTTTCCTTGCAGAAAATCACTACGCACTACCGTAAAGAAATGTAATTTTTTTTTTTGGTAAGTGTACTTTTATTTATAACAAAAACAAATTAAATAATACAACAGAATCTTTTTTCCGTTTTAAACAGCAAAAAAAAAAAAAAAATGACATTTCTTTATGGTAGTGCGTAGTGATTCTCTTCAAGGAAAGTCTGTAAAAGAAGTAAATAGGCCAATTTTTCTGATTACACCTGCGTAGGCACTACGCGGTAAATTAGTAATCATGATGGCAGTAATGAGGGACGAATGACCAACAAGAAGTCCGATTTTTTCTTGTCGATAACTCCAAAATTATGAAGGTTTCTTCATAATTTAATTGTTAATTCGAGTCCAGCATGTACATTTGCACGGAATTATGACGATTTTGGAAAAATTTTAAGGGATATTAGCGCTCGGGAAACAAAACCAAAATGTACCTTTAAATATTCCTAGAATCAAACCAAAATATTAATCAACATTATTACGTGAATGAAGATCAGTGTTGAATTCATGGAGAAATAAGATTATTCATTATCGTAAATAAACAACAAAATTAAATAATAATAATAAACACAAAAACAAAAATATAAAAAATAAAGTTATCCCCCTTTAATTTTCTAATTTGAGTTTTTATTTTTATTTATTTATTTTTTTTGGTGAAATGAACCATTTGATAAAATGAAGATTCGATTTTAATGCTTTCAGTGAAGTCAGTTTTAGAGCAGATGACATTCGCTGTTATATTTGTGTCCCATTTTCTTGTCCAATTCCTAAGCACAATTCAAAGGATAATGCAATGTCTGAAAAAACTTTCTGGATTTGAAGAAAATTCTTTTGGAAAAAGAAAAAAGATTTTTTTTTTCACTTACTCTCAATTGTGACACTCCATCTCCGGTGAGGGCAGAAATCATAAAAACTTTCTCAAATTTGCACCATCCTTTCTTGCCCTTCAAACTCTGTCTCAACGCTTGCATTCGGGTGTGATAGTCTTGCCAAGTTTCAATCTGATCAGATTTAGTTTCAACCATTCTCTTATCCCTTTGGTTTGGTAACTCTTGTATGGGGTCGGCACTAGACATCACTGGAATAGTCCGAGCTTGAGGTAAGCTGGGCTCAATAATTGGAACTTTCAAATTGTACTTTGCAAAAAGGGATTTTCTCATAGTGTTTTTATTCCTTTTGGTAAAGACATGCGTCTTAACTCCACCAGTGTGATCTTCGGTCAAAACACGCACCATTTCAAGTAGAGTCTCTTTCTCCTTGATGCGATCAACCTAAGAAAGATTCAAAGAAAAAATAAGAGAAAATCCTTAATTCCTGGAGACTGGAAACCATTGTTCATAGGGGTGCTAGTGTGTTTAGGTAGAAACATGTCTCTTGGAATATTTAACTTGAAAGTATTATGGCGGACTCTATATGAGTCTATGTAAAAAAAAAAAAAAAAAAAAATGAGTAACACAAAACTATAATACTCATGAACCAATTTCATGTATTGACAAAAAGGATTTACATGAATATGCAATTATGATAAAAGAAAAAAACATTTAAATTAGCTATAAGAGAATGTGTGTGAAATTTGTGTAACAGACATGTGTGCATATGTGAGTGTGTGAAAGATGAACATATGTGATAGATGTGTGTGTGTGTGAGAGAGTGTTCAACAGTCAAAATAAAGAAAAATGCATGCAAGTCTAGAGGCTGCATTCCAACTATACATACAACTAAGTCTATTTGGAAAAATAAGAAAAAAATCTAGGTAAAGAAATGCATGCCTTTTTATAGGCTTAAGGAGCGCCCCCTGTTGATGGTTATATGGCAAAGTCAAGTGAGATAACCCACAGTTCTTTATTATGAAATAATAATCAGTGGGAGTCCTTCAGAGACAAGAAGAAGGACATTTCTATAATTAATATGCAGCCTCAGTTTTATTCCATTTGACGACCCATGTAATACTATACTACAGGCTGTGGCAGAAATACCTCCCACATTTTAAACTGTCACCTCTGTGATGCTAGCAAACTTAGGCAAGTGGCAATGGTGTTTTTATCTAGCTAATGTCTTACCATTTTTTTCAGATAACATTATTTACTATGGATCGGTGAATACTGTATATTGTTGAAACATATATTAGTACCGTTTTAGTGTGTATCCTATCAATCAGTTTCTGCTTTAGTGTGTATCTTACTACCATATTTGTATCCTAAATTATTAAAGCATTGCCCCGATTTTTTTTCTGGATATGTTAAAAGACATTCAGAATGTTTTTATATTTCAAGTAGATTCAAGTAGGATTCAAATACCTTGTTTTATGATTTTTTTTTTTTTTTAGTCAAATTTCTTATTTTATATATTTTTTTGATTTTAAATTGTATAATACAACAATAAATGGCATCCCTCTTTCTGTTTTTGCTTTTCTCCTTACGTTACGATACAAATGTGGTGGTAGGATACAGGCTAAAATGGCATCCATTTTTTTTTTTTTTAAGACTGGTGAATATGTACATTCAACACAGAGAGTTTTTCGTACTCATTTCATGTTATGTTGCAATGATGCAGCCATGGATAGAAAATCGATACAGTTATGGGTTGAAAGGTCACTGGTTCAACGCTTGAAAGAAAGCTGTAGAGAAGACATTGAAGCACTCAAACTTCCTGGTGATGGAAAACTTTAGAAATTGTCTCCAACAGTGTATGGTGAATAGCGGTCACCAAAACTGCAGCACTTTCTTTAAACAACAGTGAAATAAATTTTAATAGCAGTTACATTAGTCCTTTTGTCAAGCTTTAAAATGTGGGTTTGGTTTGTTTTACGGCATATCAACCTCAATAGGTTATTTAATGCCGACAAAATTTTTATTGCTGGTAATATTTTGTTTTGTCAAAAATCTATTTCTTCAAAAACGTATTGCTGGTAATATTTTTGTTTTCAAAAACGTATTGCTGGTAATATTTTTGTTTTCAAAAACATATTGCTGGTAATATTTTTGTTTTCAAAAACATATTGTTGGTAATATTTTTGTTTTCAAAAATGTATTGCTGGTAATATTTTTGTTTTCAAAAACGTATTGTTGGTAACAGTTTTTTTTCTTCAAAAATTTATTGCTGATAATTGTTTACAAAGTATTTCTAATATTAAAACTTATTTTTACACTTTCATAGTGTTTTGACCCCAGTTTCGGGGTTACTATTTGCCCATAGCTGGAACCCCCCCACCCGGTTCATGGTGGGCCTGGGGACACCAGCAATTAAGAGGTGGTTACATGCTCCTGAAAACCTCTTTATCAGAGGCCTTACTGCTGGACGTAGTTTATCATCTTACCCAGGATGCAGATGTAGTTTATCATCATAGCCAGGACGCTAAAATATGGGAGATATTTCTGCAATACACTGTATTATAAAGTGAGATACACATACTGGTAGTCTATGGCATTTAAACATTAACCTACCACATGTCACAACTTTTGTAGTGATATATGATGATGCTCCTAAAACAAACTGGGGGTTTGAAGAATGACTCTTTAATTGGATATGACAGTTACAAGCACTTTGGAGCGATATTCTTATCTATCACAGATTGGACTCGATCAAAACAGCGTGGGCTAGCAGATGTAATTTATGACTGAAGCTGACAGGAGAGAGAAATTTCATAAAAGAGGAACCGTTTTGTCAACGAGTAAGTCCACCTCTGTGAGTGCTACAAGGGGGAATCCTTTTTGGCATTCTTTACTTTTTCCCATTTCCAAAATCTTGTAGCAGCAGCAGCAGCCGTCCCATCTCAATGTTGATGCACATGAAGAAACCAGGACAATTCATCTCACTATTTTTCATCAATTGTGATTTTTTTGACAATGGTGTCATTTTTCAGTCATGGCCTACATCCAACCATTATCACTTTTCTACTGCCCTAAAGAAGCAGGTGAACGTTTTATACAACTCAGCAATGATGACTTTTGCTTTCGTTCTTCAAATCTGGGCTAATCCAAGTGGCCTCCATTTATGTTACAAATCTTTATGACATTGGAAATAACACTTTTCAAAAATTCAACTTTTCTGCTAATTGCTCTGTATAATGGTGTCACTTTTCATACATGATCTGTATCCAACCGCAGCAGAAGAAGCTGTATCTAGAATTTAACCAGGTTCTGGTCCAAGGTGCAATGTCACATTTTGTGTAGCACACCGATGGAACATATTTTAAGTAAAAAATGAGATGTCTTATAACGTCATCAAATACAGTTGATAAAAGTTATTTGAAAGTTTCATCCATAAACAAAAAAAAAAAAAAAATAAATGTCCATAAAAAACATCTCATTTGAAATTTAGGGACTTTTTTTTTTTCTAAAGAAAGTAGTTAAGTAGATGAGAATTTTTTTTTTAACCCTGCATTAGTCATATGGGGTGTTTGTTACCCTCAAAGTATTCATAATTCCTATTTAGCAATTGGTTTCTTTTGCTCCCCACCCACTTCTCTCCTGACTCAATGAAGTGGGTGTTTCAGAGTTGTGGCTCAGTTATTGTAGGGGGGGTAGATGCCTGGTGACTATTCACTTTTGGAAATCTGAGGTGATGCAACTCCAATTGCATACAAGAATGATTTTCAGTTTAAAAATGTTTGTAATGGAATGTCCCACACCCCCTATCGCCAATTGTGGACTGACTATATCAGTAGATATATATAGTGTGCACAGGATATACCTGGTGAACTTGCTTCAGGAATTAGTTGGAGATTTGTCTCCAGCTAAGCTAGTCGAACTCTCTGCCTTCGGGCGGAGAGGAACCCAGACGAGGCTATGCCGAAGTGGGGGAGCCTTGTCTGGGGTGGTAGACAGCTACCCAACCCTGTTTTTATGGGGTCTACAGGGAATTTTTGCTCGAGCACATAGGCTCGGTTTTACTCCGCATTAAATAATTAATATGCCACATCCTACCATGCCGGGGGGGGGAGGTAAATACGCTTGCTTCAGGAATTACTAGCCTGCTAACCAATTCTCTGTCTTTCAGTAGTGTATTCTCTTTCACAAAAAACCTCTCTTTCTTTCATCGACACCCGTGGTGCTGTTCTTTTCACTTGAGTACCACCTTTTGTCTGTTTGTAACCTTCTTTAAGGATACAACAAAAAAATATTCAGGTTTTTCCAGAAAAAAACAAAAAAAAAAAAACTTTATTAATTTATAATCTGAATTTTGAGATGAAAAAAAAAAAAAATCATTATTTTCAGCAATCAAACTGTTTTACTGAATAGATATTTGAGAAATAAATTTGAAAAGAAAATCAGAATTTACTTTGTTCAAAATTAATATGCTCGGAATATCTGAATTGAGATGAAGAAGTTGCAAAATATTTGCACTCAATTCTTTGCATGTCCAATAATTTGATGCATCTACAATGATCCCAACTGCAAAAGAAGAAAAAAATTTGACATGAAACTGAAGAGTTAAAAATATGAAAAGAAGAAAAATATCAACAAGTCACAAAGGAAAATATTTGGTCTATACCAAAAGATAGGAAGGTGTGGAGAGACATGATTGCCCACAACATGACTGGACATGGCGCATAGAAATGGGAAGAGGAGGAGGATGGTTGGGATATGGTTCGCTGTGAAATGGAAGGCATATATAGACGAGACAATGATTGGTAGCCATGGGGGCCAACTACACAGTGAGACAAAATTATTGTCTGCTTTTTTTTGACATTTTTCATTTCAAACATGATCTGCATCCAACCGCAGCAGTAGAAGCTGTATCTAGAATTAGACCAGGTTCTGGTTTTGGTTTGGTTTGGTTTGTTTTATAGCATATCAACCTCATGGGTTATTTAAAGCCAGCAAAATTTTTATTGCTGGTAATATTTTTTTTTTTTCAAAAATGTATTGCTGGTAATATTTTTTTCAAAAGTATTGCTGGCAATAATTTTTTTTGCTAAGTATTTCTGGTATTAAAACCCATTTTTACGATTTTATAATGCTTTTTACCTCAGTTTCGGGGCTAACTATTTGCCCATAGCTGGGATCCTGACAGGTGCTACCACCCCAGGTCAGGGTGGACCTGGGAACACTAGCAATTAAGAGGTAGTTCCACGCTCATCAAAACCTCTTGATCAGAGGCCTTGTTGTTGGACATAGTTTATCATCTTACCCAGGATGTGGATGTAGTTTATTGTCATACCCAGGGCGGCCAGGTTCCAGCCCAAGGTGCAATGCTACACTTTGCATAGCACACTCATGCTAACACAATATCAAAGTATTAATCTAGGACACATCAACACATAATGAAATGAAATTGTTTTAATTTGCTTGTATATTCATTGCCAGTGATGACATTGGCTCTTGGTAGATCAGGTGACAAAGTGTAAGATCTTGTCTCTCTTGCTGGACTTGGAAGCAGGAGCAATTCTGGGGAAGAAATTCTAGGAAAAGGAATTGGCAGTCACTGTATAAAATTAGGATTTTTGTCCATCAAAACAACCTCAATTCAAATCAAAAAAGTGATATAAATAATTTATTTCACTTAAATGCATTTACAAATGACATCGATTGTATAACTTACTCATGTCTGCGACTTGGAGACTGGTGGAAGGAGCAGATACCATTTCTGTATCAAGATTATGCCTGAGGAAAGAAATTGATAAGATAAGTACAGATATCAAATAAAAAAAAAGCAATGAGGTGAGAGTTCACAAGTTTTTCAGTCGTTAAAAAGAAAAAAAAGAAAGTAACTTCTGAAATTAAAATTATTTTGGATTTGTGATTCAAAAGTGACACTAATTTGTGGGAATTATGCTAATTAGAAATGAAAAAATAATAATTCCAAAACATGAACGGAAATGAAAAATGACATCAGATTCTGAAAAGTCAACGGCTTTTCGAAGTGATGAATTATTGTTTGATTTTAGGCTACAAAAGAAAAGTATCAGGACGTAAATCAGTGTTTCTCAACTAGTATTTCCTGGGACACAATGGTTCCGTAAGAGATTGCTTGGGGATCTGTGAGAAACAGAATAAGGAAAGGAAGGAGGATGAAGGATACCAAAAGAAAGAAAGAAGGAAAATAAGGAGAAAAGATGGGGAGGAGGAAGGGAAGATAGTAAGGAGGAAGTATAGAAATATGAGAGGAGGAGGAGGGGAAATGAAAATGAGGGAAAAGGAAGAGATATAGCAGGGGAAGAAGAACGGGGAGCAGGAAAAAATGAGGTATAGAACAGGGGGAGGAGGAAAGAGAGTAAGAGGGAAGGAAAGAAGAAAAGAGAGAAAGGAGGAGGAGGAAGGATAACAAAATGGAATGAAGGAAAAAGGAAGGGAAAAGATTGGAAGAGGAAGAAAGAGGAAGGAAGGTAAGAGGGAAGGAGGAAGGAAAGAAGGAGAAAAAGGAGGGATAACAAAATGGAAGGAAAAGGAAAGCAGGAAGGAGGAAAAGGGATAGAAAAGGGAAGAGGGAAGGAGAAAAGAAAGAGAAAGGAGGAGGAGGAAGGATAACAAAATGGAAGGAAAAAGAAAGCAGGAAGGGGAAAGAGGGATAAAGGAGGAATAAGGAAGGAGGAAGGAAAGAAGGAGGGGGAGAAAGGATAACAAATGGAAAGAAAGAAAATGGAAGGAAGGAAGGAAGAGGTGGGAAAGCAGTAATGATGGTTTGTTTTTGCTTTACGGCTTATCAACCCTTTAAATAATTTTTTTTTTAGGATGATATTGCAATAACAATTTTTTTGAGTTTAACAATAATTTCTCCTATAACAAGTCCTACTATTTAACCCATACCTGGGGAGTAATGATCAAAGAAAAACGGGGAAAAAAGAAGCAGTATTAGGATCTTGAATTAGAAAAAAACAAAGAAATCAAAGGTTTTTATTTCACATGAAACATGGTAGAATCAAACAGAGGGGTGCTACGATGAAAGGCAAGAAAAATAAAAATAAAAATAAAAAAGTCCTTTAAGCTTGAAACAGCAAAAACTTTCAACGAATCTGAAGTAAAGGTGAAAAAAAAAAAGACATACCCAACAACCCCACCCTTGTCATTATCGTCATTGTCGTAGAGCAAGTGTGAACAGAGTAGAGAGAGACATCATCCAAAGTGACAGTCAAGGAGTCCATTTTTTTTTTTTGTTGGGGGGTATTGAGGAAGCATTTGGACACAGTGGAGGGTGTTAATGTACCATCTGGCGATTAGCCCATTGGATTTGGCTCAAGTTTTCTGACTTTGGTGAGGGTGGGGACAGATTGAAGTGTAAGAAAGAAAGAGGGAGGGTAAAAGCTTCAGTCCGACTTTGAGAGGGAAGGGATCCTCGAGAAATAGGGTGGAGGATGAAGAGCATGGGAAAGAGAAAAGGAGAGTGGATGGGAGTGAGAGAAAAAAAAGGAGAAAGAGGGAAGAATGCAAAAAGTGATGATGAAGGGGAGGGAGAAATATTGGAAAAAAATGAGAGCGGAATGAATCAAAGGGAGAGAGAGAGAGCGAGAGTAACAGAAAGAGAAAATGAAAGAGAAAGTGCAGTAAAGCCATATATAATATATATATATATATATATATATATATATATAAAAATACAGCCTGTTTCATGCTAAACACAATCGCCAGGCCTGACACACACATATATTATATACACACACACACACATATATATATATATATATATATATATATATATATATATATATATATATACACACACAGTTTCCATATAAAATACAGGTTCAATTCTTGTCAGAGGACATATATTTTCAACAAAATTTCTGGTACATTCAGGCTGGAAAATGTAATTAATACTGTTTATTATAAACAGACCATTTACTTAAATATTTGTATCTATAAATCTATTTGTATCGTCAGGCCTGACAATTGCATTTAGCATGAATCACACTGTCACCTCTGGGTGTTTCCTTGAATGTCCACTTTTATATTTACACACACACACACACATATATATATATATATATATATATATATATATATAAGTATACACATGCAGAGTTTCCATATAGGACTACAGGTTCGATTTTGTCAGAGGATGCATATTTTGTACAAAATTTCTTTAACATTCAGGGTAGTAAATGTAATTAATATGTTAATTATAAAAAGAGCATTTAGTTAAATATTTCTATCAATAAAATTAATGTATAAACAGAATATATATATATATATATATATATGTGCATGTATTAAGTGAGGCAGGGGAAGTATAATTGAGAACAAATTATATAATTTACACATACCCAATTTTTGAGGGTGTTATGATGGATGTATATTCAGCCATTAATATATTTTCAAAATTGAAATCAGGTCTTATAACAATGATTTTGGAATTGTTCACTCTAAAAAATTGTTAGATACAAATTTTCAAATCATTCTGATGAGAACTCATGACGTTATGCCATTGTGCTTCAAGATGGCAGATTTTTGGTTCATTTCTGCTGAAACTTTAATTGGCAATATCTTTTGAAGTGTTTGGTAATAACAATTCTATCTTAATTGAAAAACTCTGATAGCAACAAGTACTTGGAGGAATTCCAATGGTGTTTCAGGAAGTGGATTAGGTTATAATAACAGATATTAAAGAGCAAAGATGAAAGCCAAAAACCACAAGAGGAGAAATTCACAGAAGGTAGCAGTGATACAAATGAGCATTATGGAACGCCGACTGATGTCATCAACAAGATGCCAAAAAACCATGTAATCACTGAGTGTGGAGATTTCAATACCCTTCCAGGGGAAGACACTGTCCGACACACGTTCCACAAGCAAACAACCAATCAATGGCAAGATTGAAACTGTTGTAGAGTAGTTTTCACAGTGGAAGCTTGTATTTCGCTAAGTCGGTCCTAAAAGGGTCCGACATACAAAACGTTAGGAACTTGAAATAAAAGTTAATGATGCAGCAATCTAGTTGTGATGGTTGATACTTCAATGTCTGACATCGACTGACTCACTCAACTCCACTGAGCTCAACTGGCGACTGCTACTACTACTTATTCTGTGTGGGAGAGTTTATTAATAATAGAATAGGTACGTTCGGGTATAACAGAAACACACATCAGAATGTAACCTTCAAATCACAAATACACTGTTTGAATGAAAGAAGGGTAAGCAATGGACATCTATTTCAGACAAGAATGGTCACAAGTCTTAAGAAATGGAGAAATTCTGTTTACCAATTTCAGGAAGATAAACATTTCAGCTGTCTGGGGAGAGCGATCATAGATTGATTACAGCAAATGCTTGGCTCAATTTATGGATGAGTAAAACACCTGCTAAGAAGGAAAATGAATGGCCTGTGTTAAGGAATAAAGATATAAAGGAGTGCTATATAGTCTTCCTCTTCTTGTGTTCTCTGTCAGAAGATGGGTGATAATGGCTCTCCACAACTTCCTTTCACTTGTGACCCATAACAGTTCTTTTTCCCTTTTAATACTCCTTGTTCTACCATCCATTCACACAAACTTGTCATGTTGGTGGATCACTGCCTTCCCTGATCTCTCTCGTCTTTAAAATGTCTTGTGAGTATCAAATTTTCCAAGTTCTCTTTCCTCATTATGTGCCCAAGAAACTGAAGTTGTTTCTTCCTGATTCTGAGTATAATTGTTCTTTTTTTGTTGTCATTTTATTTGGTTGCCGTTGCTTACTCGCTCTCTCCATGGAATTCTCAGTATCCTTCTGTAGAATCACATTTCTGTTGCTTCAAGAATTTTCTCATCTATGGTTTTGGTTTATTGTGTTTTACGGCATGTCAACCTCATTGAGTTATTTAATACCGACAACTTTTTTGTTTTTATTTTGTTTTGTCAAAAATCTATTTCTGGCAATAATTTTTCCTCAAAAATGTATAGCTGGTAATATTATTTTAAAACATTTATTGCTGGTAATATTTTTTTTCAAAAATATATTGCTGGTAACAGATTTTTTTTTCTTCAAAAATTTATTTCTGGTAAAAATTCTTTTAAAAAGTAACTCTGGTATTAAAACCCAATTTTACGTTTTTATAATGCTTTTTACCTCAGTTTCAGGGTTAACTATTTGCCTTTAGCTGGGACCCGAACAGGTGCTACCACCCAGCATCAAGATGGACCTAGGGACACCAGCAAATAAGAGGTGGTTCCACGCTCCTCAAAACCTCCTGATCAGAGGTCTTGCTGTTGGATGTAGCCTATCGTCATACCCAGAACATGGATGTAGTTTATTGTCATACCCAGGATGATCTCATCCATGGGGAGATTGTCCAGCATTCATGGCCATATGAGAGGATGGATATCACATAACAATCCAGTGTTTTTTTTTTCTTAGTTTCTAATTAGATTTTTCTGCTTCTCAGCATTTTGCTTAGCTTTTGGAAAGCATATTCCATTAGTTTAATGCATCTTAGGATTTTGGCATCGCATTTTTCCATCAGAACTCTCCAATAGTTGCGATGCTTTTCACAAACTGAACAACATACTACGAGACTGTAAGACCTGAAGACACGCAAGGATTGCAAAAGATGCTTTTCACAAACTGAACAACATACTATGAGATTGTAAAGTAAATTTAAAACTAGAGAACAGTAAATACTGGAGGTCAAAAGCGACAAAGGCAACAGAGATGCAATTTTACCAATGAATGTTTAGAATAAATATGGAAAGAAAATGTGAGAAATGAGGAAATTTTAAGAAGAATATTGTTTGATTATTTTTTATGGCTTATCAACCCTTTGCAGATTATTTAAATCCAGAAAATACTTTTAGAGTGTAAGATTTTTTTTGGCAGTGGGTGAGGGGGGGGGGGTTAATAATGATTAATGATAAAAGTCTTACTAATTAGCTGTGAGGGGGGGGGGGGAAGAAAATGTTGATTCATACGTAATCAAAGTTTGATAAAAAAAAAAAGAAGAAATAATAATGTGGGCATAAAGAAGGGGAGTGATTCTATATGACAATCAATATATAAAGTGATCCCTCATTTTGTGGACACGGTAGTTTCTATACACTTATATTCAATAGAATGTAAATAAATCTATTTGGGGGAGGGAAAATAATAATGGTTTAGTGATACTAGTCTTTAATAGCTGAGGGGGAGAATAAGTGGCTTCATACCTTCCCTGATGGTATTTGCACATAAGTTAATATCACAAACTCAACAGGAATTGGAAATTGGCTCCTTTTTTAACAATTCCAAAGCTATTATTTATTACACCACCCACACATCCAAGCATACGGCAACTGGCATTCCCAAGTGGTCACCCATCTAACTACTGACCAGGCTTGATATTGCTTAACTTCAGTGATTGTATGGGAAGCAGTTTTTTGACGTTATGCGTCTGTAAGCTTTTACAACATATCAATTTTCATAAGTTCATATTTATATAAAGTATCAATTTTATATTAACCTAATTATGCACAATAATGAATCATATAATGAAAAATATATACAATGTATCTAAATACAAATTAGAGTTCATCAAAATAAATAAATGGCAAATTCTATCTGTCTGTGTGTCTGAACCCCCCAACTCATACAACACTTGCTCTACATAGCCATATTATACCTTCTTATTTACATGCAGACTATTGTCCTCATCTTTGTTGTTGCTATCACAATGTTTCAGCCATTGTGCCCCTGGACTTCATCAGGTGTATGTTGATCCTAGTTACCTATAGGGTTTGGTTTGGTTTATTTTGTTTTATGGCATATAAACTTCAATGGGTTATTTAATGCCGACAAAATTTTTTATTGCTGGTAATATTTTGTTTTGTCAAAAATCCGTTTCTGGTTATATTTTTCCTTCAAAATTGTATTGCTGTTAATAATTTTTTCAAAAAGTATTGCTGGTAATAGTTAACTATTTGCCCATAGCTGGGACCCTAACAGGTGCTACCACCCCAGGTCAGAGTGGACCTGGGAACACCAGCAATTAAGAGGTGGTTTCACACTTCTCAAAACCTGATCAGAGGCCTTGCTGCTGGGCGTAGTTTATCGTCTTACCCAGGACGCGGATGTAGTTTAACGTTTTATCCAGGATGAGGTTACCTATAGGGAATTTCAAACTGAGCCCTTCATGCTTCACTAGTGTTTAGTTCAGTTTCCTGTAGGTTACTTGGATTGACATATACCTGATGAAGGCCGATGGGCAGTGGTTAAAATGTTGATAAAAACTAGGATGAGGACAACAGTCTGCATGTAAATATTGGCAACAACTCATCACAAAAATTAGAACAAAAGGTGATCGAGTGATAACAACAAGGATGAGGATATTAGTCCAAATGTAAATAATGATAACTCCTCATACCAGAAATTTAGACAGAAAATATATCTTAAGGTTTCATAAAAAAATCCATCCTTTTTAGTATTCGTATAAAATACAAATTTTATTGTAACTTAATTATCTACAATAATAGATCATATATTCAATATACACCCTTGTGAAAATTAATTGAAATAACTGCTTTAGTTTCCTTTCTTTCACTATATGGTCAATTTTAGATGCACTGGAGTGACAGGGTGTAATCAATTTGTATTTTTTCCTCAGATTAGGTCATTTACAGTAGTGTGCAGTAATATGAATCTTTTTGGGTGTATGATGAAATTTGTTTGGCCTTGAAGAATATTGCATCAATTAATTTGCACAAGAGTGTAGGTGACACATTTAACTAGAAAAACTGAAAATAAATACAATGTATCTAAATACAAATTAGAGACATGTTATAATAATAGATTATTCCATCTTAAATAAATCAACAATGTTTTGTGGCAATTTTTAACATCAACTTCAGTTTTCTTGTTTAAAAATTGAATAATTTTGACAGGTTCAACATCATGGATAAAAAACAGTGAAGTTTTTGAGACTTATCATGAACAAAACAAATTCATGGATTTGGACAAAAAAACCCAGAATGATGTCAAAATCTGCAAAATTTTTTAATCCTTTAATAGTTGTGTTTAGTTTAATTTGTAACATATATAGATGTAGGTAGATAAAAGCAAATACTGACAAGATAGCAATGGTCAAAAAGCAAAGCACTTTCTTGGCTGCCAATCAAGCTTAACCCCCCTCCCCCACAGGGCTTGGAGGGTATAGAAGCAGCAGAAAAAAAGCAGACTCTTCAATAAGTTTGAGCAAATGGATATCAGAACACATATTGCAAAGATAAAAACCTGTTAAGGAAGGAAGTTATGGAGAGCCATGATCCATACCGAAGGAACACAGCAGAAAGAGAGAGATACTTCATAAATTAAAAAAAAAATAAAAATATAATCTAGCTGTCATGAAATAATAACACTTTGGCATATTTAAGGCAAAGAAGAAAGTGTTTAGCAGAAATGAACGTGGGGGAGGGCATTAAATTCCTCACCTTGTCAACACAAACGCTGGCAGAAGTGTCAGGACAAAATACATTAAACCCATTCACTCAAGAATATGACAAGGGGGAAAAGCGTAGACGGTTTGTAAGGGGGAACTAATTCAGTTATGATGCCTCGCGTGATTTATCTCCCTTACATATGTATTTTTTTTTCTTTCTTTTTTGTTGTTGGCGCTGGACGAATTTAAAAGGCAAGTGTTATCAAATATTCATGCTAAAGTTCACATGTAATATGCAACTACGATGAATATTCACTTCGATGCGACGTTTCTTTGATGTTAAGGGTGAAAGTGCATGGGAAGTTTTTTTTTTGGTCATTATTAGTAAAAAAAAATAAAAAAAAAAAAACGTTTTTATGCAGTAAAACCAATTCTATGAGAAAACAGAATCATTAGGAAAAATTTTGTTAGAAATATATAATCCCCAAAAGGATTTTAAAAAAGAGCTTGGATATATTTTGCATTGAATATTGTGATTAAATATAATGAAGGCTACAACAAAAGACTTTTTATAAAGAAATCTATTTCATTGCAGAAACATGATTGCAAATCATATATATATATATATATATATATGAAGAAAAATATACTGAAAAAACAAACAAAAATCCTAATATGCGATTATGCTGTTTTAATGTTTAATGTCAATGTCGGACGTTTCGGTCTAATAGACCATCTTCAGAACATATTCATAAAACATAATTAACATAGACCATATACAATTCAACATGAAAAAGACGATGGACATAAAAGCAATACCAATCCAAACAGATAGCTATATGGTCTATGTTAATTATGTTTTATGAATATGTTCTGAAGATGGTCGAAAGTATGGGGCACCCAGTGAGGATCGAACTTATTATTTAGTTGTAAATGATCTAATGAGACAAGCTTGCTAATCATTATGCAACATTGAAGTGCCCAAGTTAAAACTAAAGGTACAAGAATGAAAAGTAGGTTCATTTAAAAGTTTTAAGTGTTTTAAAACTTGTTTTGAAACTGGGATTATAAATTCTTGTCATGTCAAAGAGAAGCTAATATGTATTTCATTTTGTTTGAAAGTTAGTATTATCCGTAAGGTTAAAAATTTTATCACAATTTCCAATGGAGACAAATTATTAAAAATGTTTATAAAGGAAATTTGAGATTAAAATCATCATAAAAATACATGTCAATTGAAAAGGTATTGTAGAGAGAAAAAATTTTTTTTCTTTTTTTAATTGGAGCATATTTGTGTGGAGCATCTGGATTACTCCACTTTTTTGCTGAAAAAAAAAAAAAAAACCCTAAAAACAGCATAGCATGAGGAAAAAAAGGCCCAAGCTTAATAAAAACAAAGTTTTATTGTTGAAATGTTTATATTATTAAGTGAAAAGACCAAAATGTTTTTTTTTTATTATTTTATAAAATTTTTTAATCCTTTCTAAAATTCAAAACTTTGGTTAAAAAAAATTTTTTTTTGGTTAAAAATATAATTTTTTCTATGTTAGTAGTTGACAATATTTACAGTAGTGTTTTTGTGCTTTTTTTTCTGGTGAAAACACATTGATTTTGAAATTCTTGTAAAAATCAAATAATTGTTGGATTTTAATGAAAACTTTCGGGACTTATTCACAAATGAACTAAATTATTTTTAAAAATTTTTTTTCTTCAGAAAATCTTGGTAAAAAATATTTTTTTAATTAAATATGTTACCCACCACTTAAATTTGAAATTAATTTCAATCTCAATTTTTTTTTTATTAGTTTAAAACAGTAGTCCTTGTAGAATATAAATCACATTTTTTTTAAACTACTTATTTCCCAAAAATCTGTTCCAAATGGTAAAATAAAAAATGCAATAAAACTATTATTTAATTAGAACAGATTTTAACTGCTTTTATAAATATAATTTATTAAGAACACTATTGTCATAAGAAAAATTTTTTTTTGATGAATAATGAATTTCTACAAGAAATTCAATAAAATATTAGATAATTGCTAAAAATGTTAATTTTAAAACTAGGTAGTTAACCCCCCCCACAAAAAATTGCTTAGATTTTGTAAATTTATGTCAATTCTAGTCAACCATACTTAGCTGTCAGCATGTCAAGTAGTCAATAAACCAATCAAGACATCAGAAAAACAAGACACCGTTGTTAAGAAATACTTGTATACTATGTTTTATGCTATAAGTAAGTAATATTTCAAATCTGATTAATTTAACTTTAAATTAATATGATTCTCCTCAATACTGTGTCACAAATATATATTTTATTTTTGGAAGATTTTTAAAATCAAGAATTGAATTTTGTTTACAAACATGTCAAAGTATGTCAAGATGTCCGAATTTAAATGCGTTTTTGAAAGCAACCAAAAAGTTGAGATTGCAATCGATATAATTCCTATTCAAAATACACCAGGGTATTTTTCTTACTGGGAATAGTAAATTGAATCATTTAACTTTTAATTAAAGCTAAAAAGAAAGCTTCAAGAAAGATTTTTCATTTATAAAAATTCATTTTAAACCAAGGTATTGAAACTGAGTGGAGGCAACTAGTCTGAATCAGTTCAGTAGTAGCTACAATATTTTGGGCAAGGTGATAATTCAGCTTTCATAATGTCTAGTGAATGTGCTAATTTCTAGATTAAAATCATTGGCGATTTTTTTTTTTTTGCCAGTAAAAACTATAAGTATGTCATAGCAAAAACAAAGATAAGAAAGAACTATCAGTTTGCCAAATGAAGTGAAGTGAATATTTACTGTACACTGAAGGAATTTCTGTCGGAATTTCTGGGATGAGGAGTTACCATTTACGTGTGGACTATTGTACTCATCTTTGTTGTTGTTATCACAATGTTTCGGCCATTGCAGCTTCCAGACTTCATCAGGTGTATGCTGATCCAGGCTCTTTATTCAGTCTTTATTTAATCACTGTATGTTACCTGGTGAAATAATGGATAGCGGC